GTTTTTTTCTTTGTGTTGACACTCAACAACAAGAGAAAGAGAAAAATCCAACGATGCCAACATGTCATAATATTATTCTTTCCAGTTTTCAGTTACTTTCATCTATATGACGACTTGCGTGTGCTTGAGTTGAATATCTTGTTTCATGCATTATGTATTTTTCTTTACTCCTTTCAGAACGAGATATTTTTCTCTTTCTACAAAGAACGAAAAAGAAACCAACAAAGACATCGTCAGTTCGACTTTTTTCTCAAAATGATTCTAATGGACATTCTGATAATGCGAGCGACACAACTAGAAGAGTGAATCAATTCTCACTAAAGCAACATTTGAAATGGGTGTAGGTGGGTGGGAATGAAAATAAGCCAGATTCTCACATCGCCTAATTAACTTCGGATATCTGCCGAGATAACAGAAGATGAGTGGTTGAAATCTTAAGCAAGACTTCTTTTTCCTTACCCTAAAACTCTTTGTGACTCACATTTGGTACATATACATATCTTTGTCAGTTTTTATTGCATAGGAATGGTTTTTTTTCAAAAATACTGCATTAAATTTCTCTACAAAGTTCTACAGAAGAAGTCCACAGAGATATAGAACGAAAAAATGATGATAATGATACTACGACAATCTACGAATAATAAATTTCAAGGGATTTTCATTGAGACTGGTTTGCGTTTATTGCTGGCACTGAAGCAGCATGTAAAAGACTCTACTTGGATCATTTTCTTTTCAAAGAGCTAGTCCTTGTCTTCTATAATTTGTCTTACTATTCTTCACATTAGCTATTAAAAGTAGCATTGTTTCAAAATGCGTATACGCTGATATAGTCTCATTTACTGACAGATAAGATAAAAAAAACATGAATATTTTCGAAAATTCCTGAAAACTAACATTTATTTAACTCGATGGGTTTTTTATTTGAAGACTCTTAATGAAAATTCACGTAGTACAGTTTTCAAAGCTCAAGAAACATGTTTGCTTAGTTTGCCCTTATGGTTTGATACTATGAAGACTCAAAGAGATGTGAAACCACAAGCTAGAGAATTGTTTATGTAGGAGCATCATTATTTTGTAGCACTCCGAGTGCACTATAGAATCATAGGAAAATTAAACTGTTTTGCATTTATAAATGTTCATCGTGACCAAAAACTACGCAGCAAATTTTCAGAACTAGACGTATTTCAACCAAATGGCCCTTCTTCTAGATCTGCGTGCTTATTTTCTTTTTCTGAATAGTCTCTTATAATTTTTTTAACGAGTTCACATCTTTTCGAACGGTGAATGATTATAATTTCAAACATTTTTCTTCTGCATTGGAATTCATAATAATATATTGATAATACTAGCTACAAATGTTTCATGAAAAGAAGTGGGCTTACAACAATGAATGTCTTCTATTTATTCCGTACAGAACTTCGAAACAATTTTGTCAGCAGAAAAATAATTGCTATGAAACGAAAAGAATCCTATGCAAGCTTAGTAGTACTACTTGAAGGCCGAAAAATCTGCTGAAGAAAATGCAATTTTAAAAAACTTACGTTTATTCACTGTATTCGTTTGAAATTTTGCGTGCTGATGACAACGATAACACTGTAATATATCGACGTTGCTTTATGCAAAAGAAAAAAGCATTGCTTGTTTACATATATATATATATGCGTCAGTAAATTCGTTTGCCTTGTGTGCATTCATCTGTGTATATATTAAATTGCTTATCATCATATATTATCAAGATATATACTTTTTCCCCCATAAAAATATTACTTTTTTTCTTTGCTTGTTCTATCACTCATCCATCAAACAATTTAAAGAACGCAGAAAGAGAAAGTGAATCAAAGATTGCAAAACAATGTGCACTATACTATGGCTTCACTTTATTTTTTCTCCGTCATCACAAAGGATTGAAAAAATATTAGGGCTTCACAATCATGCAAGGGAAATTAGCAGTTAATTGGAGTTCTTTTCAAAATGATTCATTCCATTTCCTGAGCTAATTCAACAATACTGTGAGGCAGATATAAGTCGACCAGCTCGGCTGAACGATAAACTGAGGTTTTTGACGACAGTTATTCGAAAAATATGAAGCCTAAAAATATACTTTTTACTATAAATTATCATTGTCTTTTTAATATTTTAGTCGATTAGTTTACGATAAGTATGAAACTGATAGCTTAAAAAAATAGAGACCATGTGGCCACAAGAGACACAAAAGTTTGTACTCCTTCTCTGCTTTTTGCATAAAGTGTTACCTCGTGATAGGGTATGGATGTTGATCAAGGGGAGACTCAGACTTATAGACACACCCACACCCTTATTTTGATAGATATCACAATTCTGAGTTCCGAAAACCTATCGAATATATCCAGAAGCATAGATTTGAGCATATGTAATTACGATTTACTTTTCTCGAACAGTTGATCTAAATATGAATTGTTCACCCTTTGTGAGAATCATCTTTTCCATATGTTGAAAGATAATCCTTCGAAATGATGTTTCTTTTTCTTCATTTTTCTATTCTATTTTTTTAAGCGCAAAAACCGTAAAATTTTTATGAATAAAACATTAAACTTTTCACATTAACTGATTTGTACGACAAAAAATGAGATTAATGTTTAGACATTGTATTACAAGTTCAAGACGTTAAAATCCATTAAGAATGCATCTAAGTTATGAGCACGAACGAATTTCTATGCTGACTTTAGTGAGTGAATAATAAATATCCATCCAACGATTATTAAACTTCGATAAGTTATTTAGTCAACGTTAAGTTCTATACTTATATTATTAAATTAAGTAAATAACAATTCCAAGAATTTTCATACAATAAAGATTTTTTTCATTGAGTATCTCAAGCTATTTTTATAGTGAGATTGTCTTTATCGAGAGATTCAAAAATATCCTTCGAAGAGTGTGAGTGTGGATGCGGGATGTGGGTGTAGGTGTGACTGAAGCTGTTCAAGAACAGATACTAACACCCACACCCTACAACCACACCGACACCCTTGACTAGTCGACTCATGTCATTGAATTTCCAGTTCAACATCGAAATTCAAGATATGGAAAGAACTTTAACAGCATTCAGCAGATCGTATTAGCTTGAAGAAAAATGTTGGTATATGGCTTATAGTAACAGGCATCTTTATTCAGTACCTTATTTTGCTCCGCGGAAAATTGATACGAATTATCAGATACCCGTTCATTCGGTCGCACCCGACGAAAGATATTTCTGCGAATCTGTCAATTATCTTCGGGTATTACAATCAACCATGAATTGTCATCATCATTTTAATCAAGTCGATATTTTACAACTGAGATTTCCGATTTTACTTCACGCTATTTCAGATCTTGTTGATTTAAATCGATTAAAATGTCTCATTCTCATGGCATCACCAAAGAACTAATGATCGTTAGTCTTCTACATTCAATGCTGCACCTTGAGAGAATAGGAATCGCTAATAAACTATCAAATTTTCTCGAACAATTAAAAGGAATGCAATTTCAGCAAATTCAAACACTTCGACTGTGGAATTCTATTGAACAAAGAGATATTTACACAATTGATCAACTATGTAGTATATTTCCGTGCGTCAGACACTTATATGTCTTATCTGATATGTCAAAAGCAGATAAATATATATTTGATCCATGGATTGAAAATCTTGTCCAGTATTACTTTTAGTACTCACTATTGGTTCAAGGAGAATGGATAAATTTTGAGTTGCAGATCAAATATCAATCTTGAGCAAACGCTGCAACATGCAACTGGCATATGTACATACCGAGTGAAAGAGTTTGTTCATGTATGGATAGGGGAACAGGTAAATTTTCTGAGAGACAGATGCTTGATTTTTTATTCAATTGTTTCTTAGCCATCAAAATCCTTTTGAAATATTCATTTGAGACATATTTGTACATTGTTGTGGAATCGATCTATGTACAATTTAAAATACGAGTAGTATCTTTGCAATGTGGTTTCCAGGTAGAGATCGGTTACCTATGTACGGAGGAGAATTTTATAGGAGGGCGATATAAGTTTTTTTTAGTTGTTGTGGTGTATATGTAGCATCTCATGGGTCTTTGGCAGTATGTTTTTGTTTTGTATGCACAGTTTGATTCATTTAAAAAAACAAGTAATAAGAGTAAGAGAAAAGTAAAAGAAAGTGTGTGTTTTGTAAAGTATTATAGAAGATGTTTTATGGAAGCAGCTTCTCTTAGAGATGAGCGAATTTACTCTGAATATAATTAGTAAGAGAGAAATTCGCGTAGATGATATAAATAAATTAAAAGAAGTTTTTTCAATCTTTAATTGTCTTTTGTTTCGAACGTTTTAAACAAGATGACATGGACCCTTCAGGACTGGCAGAACGCTTCTTTGATGAAGAACTATTATTTGGTGTTTTTTTTTGATAGTAGCTGGCATTTTTTTGTCATTATGTATTCGATTTCGATCGCATATGATATATTATTGTTTGACTTCGAATGGACTGAAGCTGATGTTTCAATATTTGTTTCTTTTAATAATGGAGATTGTATCAGTAATTGAGAACCAATCGGTGATGAGAATGATGATAGTGGTGATGGTGATTGTGGTGTATCTTTGGAATAATCATTTATATAATCATTGTTAGTAGTAATAGTTGTTGTCATTGTTGTAGTTTGAATATCATCCGTCATTGCATTGTGAAACATTTGCGGTTTTGATTCGATGAACGGATGTGATGTTTGAGTTGTTGGAGTGAAACCTTCTTGAGTTTCTTCATCGCATAAACTATCAGTTTCATTTTGTTCACAGTGTATCAAATTCGCGACCGAAACTATATGTGATTTATCATTGTTAGACGTAACTTCTATCAATTGATGTTTTTTGTTTCCGTTCTTTTTTATCGATTTGAAAATCCATCCTTTAACAAAAATCGTAGTAGTTTGGTTGATATTTCTCGTTTTCTTAACAATATTCCATATAATAAATGTATAATTCGATTGTGTGTACCAAATTGTCAATCATACATAACATATAAAGCGATCGTGATACATAAAGCTTGATAGATTGATGCTGTTTCAGTGATGATATTATAATCAAAGTATATCAATGATTTTTCTGTGGCGGCTTGTATTGTTGGATGAGTAGATGATGGTTCCTTAATGAAACATAAAAAGTATGTCGAACATTTTTATTCAAATAAGCATAGCATACTTTTATTTCCTATCAATAGTTGAATAGTTTATATTTTCAGAAAAAATTAAGGTTACCTTGTACGTCAATACATATTACCATGAATTAGAAAAATATTTCGATAAAAGCTTGATGAGACGTATAGTTTTAAGATCTAAATAAACATCAAACGGTAGAAAACAAATAGATAACTCTTCAATCATTTCATTAGTTACTTATCATAAACAAAACCTGAACTATAGATGAGATGGGGTGTGTGTGGTTGTGGGTGTGGGTGAGTATGAGTGTAGAGATGATCCTGATCATGATATCCACTCGCTCACAACCACACTGATACCGACACATACCCCATATGCCCATTCACCTTACTAGTTTTTTTAGAAAAATCATTATTCCTGCAGTTTTTTGTCATGAGTGTCCACAGATGAATTTTTCCAGAATTTTGGTCTTTTGACATGGATTTTTTTCATTTTTGATGATGAATCCATTAGACTTAGAGCAAATAATCGTAGAGACGAAATATGTGTTTATTCAAAAAATAAGTTGTCATGCCTACATAAAAAGTAAAAACGGCCAATTGTGTGGGTGCGAAGATGTTTAGTCTCTTCACAGACGTACACTGCACGCACATACATGTTAAAAATTTCATCTGTTCTTATTTATCCAGCATTTTTATTCTATTTTCAGATAAAAGCTACTCCATTAGATCCTCTCTGATTGTGTTGATATCGGCAGAATTCTATTAGGAGTAACCGGAAACCTAGTGACCAGAAATGCGATAGTCGGCTTCGATTGGGTACTAGGAAGTTCTGATAGGTTTCCATTGATTTTTGCCGAATTCCGAAAAGATTCAATGAAATCTAAATCCCGGTCATTGCATTGTTTGACCTGAATTTCTTTGAGGTTTTGCTTCCAAACAAGGAGACGAAGATAATTTGAAGGCAATGAAGATTCTCCGATTTTAACTGCTTGCTTCTGATATTTAACTGCTTCTGGATATTTTCTCATTTTATAATAAACCCAAGCAATATTGTTGTAAGAATCAGCTAATTTCGGCTGATTTAGATGTTGCATTTGTTGTCGAATTTCACGTCCTTTTCCCCAGAATGAAAGCGCTTTTGAGTGATTGTTCATCTTATTGTATACTATACCGAGGTTATTGTAAGAATCAGCTAAATTCGGATGATTCGATAGTTGTATTCGTTGTCGAATGTTAAGTGCTTTTTCCAAGAATGAAAGTGATTTTAAGTTATCTCCCATGTTGTTGTATATCAAACCAAAGTTATCATAAGAATCCGCTAGATCAAGATGATTTGGTGGTAACACTATATTTCGAATTTCTAGTGCTTTCTCTTGGAATTGAAGTGCTTTCGAATATTTTCCCACGTTGTTCAATACTACACCAATGTTACGGTAAGATGTGGCTAAATCTGGATGGTTTCGAGGAAGTATATTCAGACGTATTTCGTACGCTTTTTCATAGAATGAAAGTGCTTTTTTATATTCTTCTAAATAGCAATACACTGAACCAATTTTACTGTAAGAATCAGCTAAATCGACATAGTTAGTAGGCAATATTTTTTGACGAACTGCTAATCCGTTCTCGTACCATGATATTGCTGTTGAATATTCTCCCAGATTAGCATATATGAACCCGAGGTTGGTGTAAGATGCAGCTAAATGAGAATCGTTGATAGCCGATTTCTTTTCGTATATTTGCATTGATTTTTGAAAATAAGAAATCGCTCCTGTATAGTCACCCAGCTCGGTTTTTAACATTCCAAGTTGATCATAAAGGTTCCAAGTTTCAAAATCATCAAAAGTTTGTTGTGGCGGCATCATGGATAAAATAAACGCTTTTTCAAAGCCGAACATTTTTCTTAGTAAATTGTACAGTCGATGGTATTCTGTTGGTCCTTGGATTTCGTTTCTCATGAATTTAGTGAGAGAGCTCCAATAGCCATCGTTATGCTCCATCATCGTGAGTTGTATTTGCCAAAATCGAGATCGTTTGCCTATTTGTTGAATTCGATCAATTCGAAAGACGCTGTGTGTAGTAAATAGTACTAAGTCCTGGTTTGAGTCATATTGTAAATCTCGAATATGTGCAAACGTAGTCGATGAAATCGATAGATCGACATTGATCATAAATAACACACCAATGGATCCTTGGTTCTCGGCTGCCTGCCTAGCACTGACAACAGAGGCGTTATGATCTAGACTAGTCGATAAAAAGTAGTTGAACGAAAAAAGACCGCCAACATGAGATTTAAATTTTTCTAAGTCACTTTTTGGTAATCTTTGACCACGATAGACAGTCAATAATTTTCCTTTGCTTTTCTTAAACTGTGCAGAATGAAGTTTTTCTAATTGTTCATGAAGATCACGAATGAAGAAGCCCAGCATGATGATTGCTTCAATATCTAGCGTTTGCAAGGAGTGTTTAAGCATTGAGTGAAGAAAATGCGGTGCTGAATACCACCAAATGGGTGAATGTTGATGATATTCTTGTTGAAACTGTTCGATTTCGTGTTTTGGTAACTTGTTACCATGCGATTCACGACAATAGGTGACAAATTGTTGAATTGATCGTAAATCGTATTTCATAGCAATAAGAATTTCTTTCAATAGAAGTGTGTATATGTAACTTTGATCGATAAGATCCATGTTTTGATCTTTCGCATCACTATTCAGAGTAATCGAGGTGTCGATCGAGTCATTTTCGATATTTTTTGCGGCGATTTTGATTAATTCACAAATTGTTTCGAAATCTGCTTCAACACCTTTAATTTTGGACCAGTTCTTTGTCCATCCTTCATGTTTTACTGTGTTTTGACAAAATACGAATATCGAATAGATCTGTGGCAAATCGTGAATGTTAGCAACTATACTTTGATCGAGTGATCCAGATGTCACGAACAATATTTTTATGTCTTTTATTTGATTTAAATAATTGATGCATATTTCAGCATCCGTAAACGTTTTCACATTATTCACAATACTCGATATCTCATTAATTAATTTAACATAATCTTGATGTGATTCGTTGATATCTGAATCAAGCCAGACAATAAGAAGATCTAAAATAAAACAGGACTCAACAAACTAGCATAAAAGAAAGATACCACATTTATTTAGAAATATTTCGTGTAAATTAGTGATTCTATAGTGCTGTAGAGCTGAATTTTTGCTTCCTTATTATGAACTTCTGCAAATCTAACTCACTTAGTGAAGAGTGTATTTTGATGCCGTGAAAAAAATTATGCAATATCAAAATTCAGATACCTTTTTCGATTTTTATCGAGTTCATATTCAAAAGAAGTTTTAAAGGTTCTATCTCGTGAACGAAAATAACATTGTTATTTACTTTGATCATTAGAATAGGTATTTTTAATAGAGATATATATCACTTTTACCTGATGTTGATCTTATACTAATCGTATTCATGCTTGCTGGTAATGATTCATTATTATTGTCCGTTATTTCTACTAGATACAGAACTTTTAGACCATCATTAAGTTTTAAATCGTCACTTTCCACTTGCAGTCGAGTGCCTGGACCAAGTAACACTTCGTTTTTATCTGGATATTTTGAATAGCTACTCAAATTTCTACCAGTCACGGCTTCAATCATAATGAGTGTAGCATTTGTATCATTGTCGAGAAATTCTTTGATGACATTAAGTCTGGTTGAGCAAGAGGTCATACTTTGCGAAATTATTTCACTACCCGTAAGAAGATTCTTGTTAATATTTTCTTTTGTACCACACCAAAGGCGTTTTTTCTCTCTGGGCAATTTTGCCAGTGCAATTTCAAATAATTTGAGATAATTAAACCATGGTGCCAATACAGCTGGATCTTTAGATCGCATATCCTTATTCAACAATTGATATAAACTATAAGTACCCCATTCCATGGTATAAAGATAAATCGAGGCTGATTCGTCATGTGTGAGGTCGTGTTCGGATGGAAAATGGCATTTTTCCAAAGCCTCTTTGATATATTGACGCAAATGAACAATACGAGATACGATAGGTTCAAGAGCATGCTCAAGTGAAAGTAATGATTGATTTTGATAGCCATAATTTGGTGGAATTCTCTTGTTATTAAGATCAATGTCAAGAAATCGAGTCATGATGAATCTTGTATCTTAGATTAAGCAAATTCACTATAAATGTTGTCAAAATGACATATGAAAATTTGCAAAACAATCGTCTTTTTACGTTGGTGTGATTTTCACTCGATGACGTTGAAAACCAATTACGAAATCGTTTAAACTACTAACTTGGATCAGTTTCGTTTCAACACAAAACAAATAATAAATAGCTAATAAAAGCTTTTAAAAAAAAGCCTCCTTGATGATAACTATGAAATTTGATGAATTTTGCCGTATACTATGAAACAATAGCAACGTTTTCGATAAACTATAAAATTAACAATAACAATTAGGTCGAAAGTTTTTCAACAAGACCCTTTATTGATTTATACTTTATCTACAATATTCAAGAACAATCAATAGCAATTAACTTAATAAAAAAGAAAGCCTCGACTGTTTTCGGAAGCAAATGTTTTGGTGTTTATTCATTCATTAATTTCAATCAAAAATTTTATGTTCATAGAAAGAAAATTTCGGAACTTCTTAACAATAGAGAGACAAGAAATTTCTATTATTAATCTTAAAATGTTTAGGCTGCTCTAAAATTATACGAAAAGATTAATTTTTTCCTAAGAAACGACGTTGATACACACATATTTACAAACGGTCCACATCAATACACAAAAAATTCCAAATAAAACGATCAGACTGAAAGAGAGTGTTTATAGTTAGCCTCAAATAAATAGTTTTTTTCGAATTCTTTTACAACACTTGAGACATGCATTGATTCTGAGACCGATCAATTTCACTTTCAATACTCAATTTTGGCTGAAATTGAAACCAAATTAGAATTAACCTATGTTAAGAAGAGTCTTCCTTTTATCCACACTTACAAAAAATGCTATAACACCTAATCGCGGTCAATCTTTTACTTATCTTAGAAATATTTACAGATAAATACTAGATTGAAAAGAAAAGAAAATATAGAAAACTGAATGAAGAAAATGAATAGCTAAAACAAACATGTATGAAATGATCATTAGAATCGGTTTCATCTCTGTCTCAATTATTTCTAATGTCTAAATCATATTGACGCTACCTGTGCATGATCTAATACCTTGTTTGTGCTTTTGAGATCATTCTAATAAGTTGCTCATCACAACAAAATGAATAACAACCAATATAAGAAAAAAAATTTATATTGTGAGTGTGTTGATAGGAGCTTGTAGCTACACATGTAACACAATTTGCTCGCCTGATCGAATCACTGATATTTTTTTACCTTGCCAGAGAGACAACCTTATATACTTTCTATCGTCCGTTAACTTGTCTGTTTTTCTTCCTTTTTTTTTTGATTTTTTCAACGGCACTCAATCGCAAATGCTCTATACAAGATATATACGTTATACATACAATGATATGCATGGATGAGTTGTAAGCAATGAATATTGCACGTGAAATAAATATAGAATGTTTATATTTCAATAGATATAAAAAAAGCAGAAGAAAGAAGAAAAAGCTACACTTGTTATATTTTGAAACTCGTCTCATGAAACAAATTTCAATTACTATTCACACATATAGTTGACAATCAAGTAATTTCAATCGTGCATACTCATTTTCATATAATTGGATGATAGCGTAGGTTGAAATAGGTATGTAATGAAAGAGTATAGAGCTGCGACAAAAAACATTTTATTTTTGATTTCAAGCTTTCAACAATTTACAATTGTCATCATCAGGAAATCATTAGAAAAGAACAAAGTTAAGGGTGTGGGTGAGTGGGGTTGGGTAGGAATGGGTGGGGTTGGGTGGGTGTGCGTGTGGGTGAGTCTTCAGTTCGGCCAGACGTACATCCGTATCCACACCCACACCCTCTTTCGATGGTTGGCAATCAAGTTTTTATGTAGAATTCTTGGCATACTAATAATTTTCTTCAACAAAAAGGTAATATCTTCTGTGATATGTTTAGTAAAAAAAAGCGTTAGTTTCATTCCGTTCAGATTATAATATATAAGAATAGAAATCAATCAAGTGTGATTTGGATTACGACGTCGTCTCATTTTATTACATTTTCTACATGTACGTTTCCTTCCCGCTGCACAACGTTGATAATCATGTGGACCTTTAGACTCTTTATCATCGTCTGGTTCATCGTCACCACTATGCGTGTCTTCGTCTCGAATCCCGTAGAAAACATCCAAAATCCAGATACACATCCAGTCTAAAGCAAATTCTATTTCATCTTCGTCAGTAAGGATCCCTTGACAGTTCGTATTACATCGTTGACAACCTTGCTTCTCTATAATAATTTGAACAATGCCTGTGCTCCAACGAGCTCTCCAAATAACGGTTGTGTAAGATGATGTCCACTTTTTCCCGCAATTGCGACATTTAAATCTATTTTTTCAGAATAAATAAATAACATTGAGAGTTAAATCTATACTTACTTAGCTCTAGCGTTATGTGTTCGAAAAGGCCACTTACGTTGTCCCTGCATTAAAGCTTCTCGACTCGTGTCTATATTGTTTGGCATTGGCTCAATACTCCATCCAGAAAGATCGTAATAATCTAAAGCTTCGTAAAACATTGTTTCAAGGGGTATAAACCAATAATCTTGTGCCATGACTTTACTTGGTTTCAGGCAGAAGAAAAAATGACAAAATAATAAAGGAGTACTTACTTTGGTTAGAATATAACGGTAGACTTGTTTTTATCTTGTGTGAAAATATTCATGCTGTGTCTCTCTTCCTAGGTAAATATTCACCGGGTTGAGACATGTGTGAGTCGCGTTTAATGCTCGTTCGAGAAGCGAAGGACGAAAGTGTCTGGAAGCGTCTTTTCTGCGTTTGCCGTTTAAATAGGTTATATTGCTTTTGCCATCATTGTTAAAAAGTATTTCTTTAGAATTGTTCAACGATCAAATATTTGAGGATAATTCAAAAGACTGCTATCGCCGTAATTTGTAACCAGCACTTTCCGATAAGTCAAAAAAATAGCTGATTAGGGTTTGCAATATACTTTACTATTTTCGAATAAACCAGTCAACGTCAAGTCCAGGTCTGAAACTCAGCTCATCATTAGAATCACGCCTTTTATCATACATTCACCGGGATAAACAAGTGCACTTAAAAAACAAATATATATGTAATGGAATTTTTCGCCGAAACTAGTTTTCGCTTTCGCATTCATCTTGTTCGGATGAAACGAAAGCTTGTTGAATAATTCACATTATTAAAATACAATCTATACCGTTACTTGAAGCGTTCTTTTTATGCTTCTGTGAACTTCAAACAAAATGTTTATAATTTTTTTAATTGTTGTCGGTTATTTCTTTTCATTACTATGAAACTTTGCTCAAGAATATTTTTCTTTTGTATTGAATGAAGAACACTTATTTTGATGTTTTCCCCAAGGATAGAACACTATAGAAACTGATTTCAGTGAATGAATGGGCTTCTCATTTGTGGTCGAGACTAGGGCTAAGTAATATATTTGATTCAAGTCCGAAACGGGATGGTTGTCCCAACCAGTTGTTAATACTAACTGGCAGGGCCTGCACCCACCTCATATATTAGCGGTATTATCGCCGAATGCAGTGGCGGGTGTGGGTATGTGCGGGGTGTGGATATAGTGTGCGGGTAAGGTTGTAGGTGGGTGTGGGTGTTAATGGATGCGGCTGTTAGTGGATACGGGTGTAGGTGCATGTGGGTGCGTGTGGGTGTGGATGGATGTAGGGTGTGAGTGTAGGCGGGGTTTTGGTGTGGGTGCGGGTTGGTGGGTGTGGGTGTGGATGTAGGTGGGGTTTGGGTGTGAGTGCGGGTGGGTGTAGGTGGGGCTTGGGTATGGATGCGGGTGCGGGTGGATGTGGGTGGGGTTTGGGTATGGGTGCGGGTGGGTGTGGGTGTGGGATGTAAATGTCGGTGTTACTCTCAGCTTCATCCATCCAGACCAGCGCACTCACACACCCACGCATGTCAACCTAACGCGTTTTAAAAGTTAAAAAAATCGATGACGAGTCTTTGCTGGACGGAAGACTTCTAAATGATCATCTTGTTCTCTTATTGAGTCGTTTATCTGTCCTTTGCCGTATTTTTCGTTGTATTCTCAGGCGAACAGAACAAATGAGGCGCAACGAACGGCAAAAAGAAACGATAAGGCATAAACTTGTTTTTACTGTTATTGAGACAACGCTCTCTTCTCCATATCCAGGGTGTGATAGTCTAGTTGGTATGGATGTGACTGAGGGTCTGGGTGAAGTAGGGATCGGAATCCTCATCTACACGCACACACCGCAAAAACATGAGCGTTCCCACCACCTATGTGTTCTTTTTTGTGTCAAGTCAGAGAAATCTCCTTTTCTGTGTTTATACTCGTTTATTCTGAATCATCGATGGATGTTTACAATCGAAATCAACGTCGAGTAATATTCTATTTCAAATGCTATGGTTTTGTGTTGCTATATATTTTTCCTAAGCCTTCGGATTAAGCAAATCTCATCAGAGTTTTCTTGCTAATCAGAAAAAGTGAACTAGATGCGTGAGACAGACATCGGCTTATTTGTCTTTTGAACGAGAGGTGAAACCACTCTTCGATACCGAAGCTAACTTAGTGATTTTAGATGATGATCAATGAAGTTCTTCTTCTGTCCCACATGTTTCATCTGTCGTTGCACATGTGAAGTGTAACTGTACACCTTTTAGAATAAGTTCAGTTGTATCCTGTCGTCCATGCAGGCCACCATAAGCTCTGTTTCGAACATTTCTCATTTTACACATAAGCAAAACACTTTTCAAACAGATTCTCAAGCCATCTCATGCTCATCAATAGAAAAAAATGGTTTTTGCTTCTTCGACGTGGCAATGAACATTTCTCTCAAATGATGGCGGCTCAGAGAGCGGTGTATCATCTATATATTGAACTTGGTGAAAAATGAGGTGATCAAAACATGTTGAAGGCATTTCAGCGTGTGTGTTAGCAATTTTGCTTGTTAGCCGTTATTCTGCTTAGAGTGCCCCAAACATGTGTTTTTATTGTAA